GGGGGCCCCCAGTCTTTTCCCCTGCCATTTTTTTTTTTTTCCTTTTTGGCTATCACATTTAGCAAGGAGAGTGGTAAATTAATGGCAGGTGCATAGATCTGGAGAACTACCAGCCCTAGAGTCATTATTGAAATAGCCTATTTGTTATGTAGGGGGGTTGGTTGTTCATATCAGATTTAATATAAATCTGGAAGTGTTCTCTGGATAAGTAGAATCCAGTCTTAGCCATAGCCATGATACTGGAATAAACAGTAGCGTAGTGCCTGAAACCAAGGGAAAGAACACCAATAAGCTTTCCATTTTCTAAGGACAGATTTGGTTCTGCCAGTAGACACATGCTGGGTCTCATGTGCAATGTTTACTCCTGCTTGTGTCACATTCACAGTTGACCCTTGGAGAGAAAAAGGGAGAATGGGCCATGGGAGTAAGGGGAGGTAGGTTTCAGTAGCTGACTTGTTTCCCATTCCTGATGGTCCTTACAAAGCTTCATTATCTAACGCCATTGCGTCACTGGAAGGGAAACCTCTGACTATCCTGCTTTATTTACACCAGATGGGAGAGCAGTAAACCTGAATTGTGAGAATTGAGATTGACCTTAGTCCTTGTCAGTTATATACTTCTGAGCAAAGGTATTTTTCATGCTTAAAGCATCTCAGGAGGATAGATTTCTATGGTTTGTTCACAAGTAAGAAAGAACATCTGCATCACTTTATTGAAAGCTGGCTCCCAACAAACAAACACAAAAATTCAAGGCTGGGGTATATCTATGCCAAATTTCATCCTGGAGTAAATTTTTATGAGTTATAAACTCCTGCTATTTATAATGGAAATTCTAACAGCTTTTTATTTCATAGCAAAAATATGGCTGTAATACTTTAGGGAGAAGAAACATGTTCACTTTCTGGCTGGCTTAATCTCATGACTTAGCCATTTTGGTGGTTCCTGTAATTCTCTCCCTAACTGTTCAAAAAACTTACTGTACTCTTGATGCATCATATTACCAGATGTCATTGACTTCTGAAGAATGCTGCTGCAGTGGTCCTGTCCTGCAATTGAGATAAATTGACTGGATGAATATATTAGCGCATGAGACATAAATAGTCATCTTTTCTTCACTCCATCCTCTAAAAAGGTTCCTTGGATATATACTTCCCTCCCAATAGACATGGTTTCAGTTATTTTTCTAAGTTGTTTCAGGTCTTTTATGAATAATATCTCACCAAAGGATAATACAGAGACCTTCACAATATATAATCCCTAGGGTTGAGGAGAGATTGTGCAATCAAAACAAATTCATAATGCGAGTTCAGCATCCACAATATGCTACGGAGTTGCTCTGTACTGAATATGAGCAGAGTGATAAAGTAAGCAGAGGTGCATTTCCATGAATCCAGTCTGTCACTGGAGAAGACTTTTTCCAACTCATGTCTTAGAATTTCACCACTGCAGAATAATATTCCAGTTTTGCAGGTGACCATAAAATAGAAAATTGCACTTGTGATTATGAATGTAAGATCACATCTGATTGAGCAAATGGGAGTGTTGCATACATAAAACTACTGGGCACAGTTTTAGAGGAAAGATTAAATTATTTGAATCTATCAATAATGAAAGCTAATGTACAACTAGATAAAATTAGTGGTTTAGAAACAGCCAAACACTTCTGTTTTAAGCACTGTAGCTTGGCTTTGGAAATAGGCAAAAAGGACATAAGGGCATGTACGCTTTAAGGGGAGCAGGGGGAATGGGAAAGAAGTCTTTGTAAAGCCAAAGCAGTTACACTGAAGCTCTACCCCTCTGAGGAGTTTCTTCACTGATTACTCTTTTCTTTCTCCTCCTTTTGTGACTGTATCTGTACCTTGACTCATGTTAACTTAAATAGTACATAATACAGCAGTAACAGGCCCTTCAGACAGCAAAAATATCCTTGAGAGATATCAAGCATTTTATTCTGTATTATTGAGATAAATAATTTATGCCATTTCTGAGTACTTGCATGTCCTGCTCTGAACTCAGTTCATATGGACGCACAGTAATCAAGCACTTGGCTGCACTTTTTGTGCCTGCAAGAGATAGTCCCCATGACTTTTTAAAAGTTCATCTGAGACACTTCTAGAAGATTCTGTGTAACATGTTTCTACAAGCAAGTGGTGTGAAGGGATGGTTTTATAAGCACTTACTTGGACTGACACACATCTGTTGGGTTCTGATACTTGCAAATGTTCCGGTTGAGAATGATGAAACATTTACACTCACCATAATGTCCTGTATTATACATTTATGTATGCATTAGGGATGAATAACCAACAAAAATTATCATGAAAATTTTGTTTTGATTGAAATGAGAGGGAAAAGCATCATCCACCTTTAATCTGCTTATTTGCTGTCTAATGCTTACTGAACAACTTAATAAACATTGTACTAGTGGATGGCTAGCCATACCTGTGTTTTGATGTTCCTCTGGAGTAACAGGTTCTGCGCTGGTTTGTTGGCTCTTGCTTGTTGCTGTCATTCTCTGTGCTACCTTTTCTCCACAGACCAAGCCCCTATCTCACATAGTAGCTCCTGTTTAAAGTGCTGGACTGGGGGATGTTTTCAAAATGTTAGATCTGACTTTTCAACTGAAATAATTACTGACATTCTTTATACTCTTTTTTGTGTCGTTTTCCTTAAATGTGCTTTTCTACTCTAGGAAAACAAGATTATAAGAAAACCAGGCCTATGTTAAGAGCTACAAGATTAAAAGCAGAGGCCAAGAAAACTGCACTAGGCGTAAAGGTAGACATCTTTGATAGCTTATACCATCTTTGTGTATATGTTCTTTCTTTTCCCCATAAATGTACTGTGTGAATATTGATTTTTGAGACATATTGTTTATGACACTTCAAAATCTAAGTGGAATGCCAGAATCTAAAATATTTACGATTGATTGCTTTTACTTAACCCTAAAATAACTAGAACAGTTGAAATGCTAAAAGATTTTAAGTAGTCTGTGTCCTTGTTATGATGCATACTTACTTTAGGGTCAGTAAAGTACTGTTTGCATGGAAAATTGATCTTTTCAGGGAGCCTCTCTACACTCAGAACAAATGCTTTAATGATTTCATATAGTTAAAAAAATTACAATAAACATCTTCTTTCTTCCTGTTGCTATCCTATACCCTGGAGTAATTTGAAGACTTGTTAAGTGTTGTAAATTCTTAGCATTATTGTCTCAATCTGCATCCTGTATACTGCTGCTGACTTGGAAAAAGAAAGGTAACAGCAAAACACATGGAAAGGTACTGAACTTTGTTTTCGAAATGTCCCTTTTTCAGGCAGGTATGCAGTATAATAATGACTGTTTGATCACGGCTGTGAATGTGAGCAAGGAAGACAATTAGGAATATATTGTGCTGTCTACTACCCAATGTGTCATCAAACGGGATTTATTGGAATGCACATTGTTTATTTAAGTTGCAGCCATTATTTTTCCCTCAAACTTATTTTTGAATCAAATTAATACACAATTAGCATAACAGCAAGGGTAAAAACTGAGCCAAATAAAAAAGTGGATCAAATACCTGGGTATTCTAGTGGAAGAAACTTCAGAAATGTTAAAAGGAGAACATTTTCTTGTTTCTGGCAGATGAGAAATCAATTTTTTCAAGTTATAGCTTATAGCAAATGCCAAGGTATTACTACCAAGCTGTAACAGCTGTTGAGCTGCCAGATGATGTATTTGGTTGTCTTCCAGAATTTGCTATTATAATCACGAAACAGTGCTTTCTTTTTGCTCCTGATTGCTGATCTCGATCAAGCATTACCGTGCAATGCAGCATGTTTTCACAACATAATCTCCTCAGTTAGTGCTGTGTGTCAGGTTTTAATGAGAAAAAGTAGATTGCCTTTTTTGTTTAAGGGATAGATTATTAACCTTTTGAGTTCAGTGTTTTTCCCTTCCTTTCTTATTAGATTTTGCATTTTCTTTTCATTTTACTTTCAATGACATGACCTTTTAAAAGTGATGTTCTACTTGGAGTGCTGTTTTACTGTACAGTCCAGTTCTAAAACATTGAGGTTTTAGAACAAGATTTTTAAAACCTGCTAAGGTTTTTACATGTCTCACAAGTGAGAAAAATATGAACCTTGGTTCTTCAAAACCTGTTTTGATTCGTTATTTTCTTCAGTATTTCTAATTTTAAAATGAGGGAGAATAGGAGAGCATATGTGTAATCCTATATATAATGAAGAATAAAGTATTAGTGAGAAAATAAATTGAGAACAGTGTGGTTTGTCCTTCATGTTCTAGCAGAGCACCAGCTGACATCTAGGTAAGAATGAGTTTTGCCATCAAGGCACACCCCTGTTCTCAACATCATGGGATGTTGTGTTTTGAGGGTTCTGCTAGTAGCAGAGTGCAGTGTCTCAGGTTTGCAGTTCTGCCTTTAAAAAAATCCCAAAGTCTTTAAAATACTGTCTTCCGGCTGTAGTATTTTTTGCACACCTGGACCTTAAAATATGACTCTGGATCATCCCCAAACAGATCACAGTCATTTGCTTTGCTTCCTAATTGCTGAGAAAAGCTGACAGCTGAAGCAAAAGGGAAGGTAAGTTGGGCATCTTTCCCTCGGGATATGCTTGTGGGGGGAAGGAAAGCAGGGCCTTTGTGTGCATCCTTCTCACTAAGCCTGCTTAATGCCAACAACCTCAGGCTTACTAAATGTTACAATACTTCTACCAGAATATGGTCAATCCCTGTAGAATAAAACTGCGCTGCTTCTGACAGACTGTGCAGCACTCAGCACAGAAGCGAGGCATATTTAATGTCTCAGGGTAAACTTGCACCTCTTCCCATCTTGCCGTGACACCTCTTCACCGCTGCTCTATCCCCCAAGTTCATCACAGCTTTGCCATGGGCAGTGGATGCTCCTGGAGTGTCTGCAGGGAAATCACCCTCCCGACCCCATGAGAAGCTGTTTAGTTGTAAAGCCCCGTAACCTCTCCTGCTCGCTCAGGCAGGGCTTGTTTTGCTCAGGCCATTGTAAGTTCCTACAGCTATCCAAAAGCAATCTTCTTGCGTTCATTCTCCACACTTATCCTACATACTTCTCTGTTGTCTTCTGGATAAATTTTGAAATTAGATTTTCTTGAAGTCTCCTGCTTAGTGTGACAGCAGAGTGTTAAACCGCGCCTTGTATCAGTGCTTGTCCAAAGAGTCAGTGGAGTTGAAGTCCCTTCAGGTTATGTACATTCATGAAACTATTTTGAGGCTTGAGTGTGCATTCCTTTAATTGTTTCCTAATATTCAGGGCTTTTGAGTGTGCCTGAGCTCTTCCTTTGGGAAGGTATCATCACAGTTGTCACCTCATATTAACGAAGTTTTCTTATAGTGATAAATTATATGATTTGCCTTCCAAAGGCTGCGATTTTAGTCTTTTTATGTGATGTAGGCCCTGATTCTATGCAGTGACAGTTGATTAACTTCAGTCTGTGTTGAAGAAAATAAAGTAGTATATCCACAGTACAATGTAGTAAGTAGGCAGCACTTTAAATAGAATATCCAAAGTTCTTACAAGTCTTTATGTATTTACCATACATTTTATTTGTTTACCCAGGTTTCAGTACATGATGCAGTATGCGACATTTCAAAATATGTTAACATTTTCTTATAAAAAGCTAAGGTGCAGTTAATAAAATACTGTAGAGGAAGGATATTCTTTTCATACATGTAAAAGTACAAGTTACTTGGGAAAGAGGAATATTTTTGTGATTCTGTGAAATACCTAAAACAGTAAGTATCATACTGCCACTTGAAACTATAGGATTTTTAGTGCGCATTGATACTTCTAGAGTTGTTTTGCCCTGGTGTCCTGAAGAGCTTATATTCCTGGCTGTAAACTAAGACTTGGTATAGTATTTAGGGGAAAAAAATAAGAGGACTGGAAAATAATGGAGGTATTTTAGTCCTTAATTTCTATGAAGATAATGAAATTCAAATGTTGTGTGTTTCACCATGAGAGCTGACAACATTCGCTTTAAAAAAAAAGGCCTTGTAAATGCCATAGAACTTTTCAGAACCAATCCCCTGGAGATCCTTCACATTTCATTGCTGGCATACTAATTAGCTTGTCTTGTCAAACTTTGATTGCCTTGTCATTTTAATGCAAGGTTTAAAGTAACAAAGTTTCTTTCAGTCACTGGCATTTAGTACTTTTTAATTTCCCCAATGAGAGATTTTATCCGTGTTGATAATGTCAGAGCAGCAGCTGAGTACTAATAACTATCAAAAGTTAGTTCATGCAGGGTGACCAAGCTAGTATTTGGTGTATAATATTTGCTCTTCAAACATATTTAAAGATTAAATATTGTAGCAGAGCTGTTATGCTGGCTCTGCTTGTATATGTGACACTGATGCAGACAGTGCCAAAATAGATGGTGTCTATTGGAAAAGCAGGACCCCTGTGTTGAGAAACTACTTGTAAAGAAAGCAGTATGCTGCATGTCTCCTGGTGTTTGGGTATGAAAGAATTCTTCCTAGCAGTACCAAAAAGGGAGCCTCTGAATCTTCTCTGTGTGGTTGTTTTGTTATACCCCACGGAAGGCTCGTGCAGGTGGGAGCCCACCTGCTCATCCTTACCATGTCATGCAGCAAGGGGTCTGCACTGTCAGCACTAACTCGGCTCTCAGTGGGTGAGGAAGAGGTGCCAGCAGGAGGGTGGCAAGCAGAAAATGGTTTGAGAAATGTAGAAGCTCAGCCCCAGATAGCTGGGGTTTGGTATGCAGAGGCCAAAAGTAATGGAAGTTCTCGGGGAGAGACTTTTTTCAGAGGCTGCAGGAATGAATCAGTGGTCCATGGGACAGATGATGAAGTTTTCTCTCTTGTTGAAAGCTAGACACAAATTGAACAGTAGTATTTTACACCAAGTTGCAAAACCATAATTGACTGCAGAATACCACTCCACAGAGAATTATTAGCAACATAGTACATCGATTAAGCTAAGGAAAAAATGTTTCCTAAAAAACTGAGAGCTTACTGTCTGTCATTCTTTTGCCTATCTACTTAATCTATTGTGTAGCTAGCTAGCTCACTGTTAACAGTTTATCTCATCTGGAACAAGTTATGTATGAATAGATAACAAGACGTTCCTGGTGTATTTTGGCAAGTAGTATTCTCTGATTTCATGCTGCTCATGATCTGCTAAGTTAGCGAACTACATTTGCCAAGATAAGTTGGGAATACAGTTTCATAGCTTTGCAGAAAATAAGCCCACAAGGGACTATTAGATCATTTGATCTGGCCTTCTATATGTTACAGATCATAAAATTTCATCCAAATACTTTCTAGGAAGTCCAAGCACTTTATAACAGCTAAAATACTGCATCTTCAAACCAGCTTATGTGCCTCACATAAAGAGGAGGGCAACTTCGTGTGCCACTGGTGAACAAACTGTGATATTCCCAGTAATCTCAGTAGTCAGACTTTGATCCCTGACCTTGAAATGGAAGGGCGTGGAAAAATCCATAGAGAGGAAAACGAAGTCAGATTGCTCCCTTGTGACCCTGGCCTGACCTGTACACATAAGTACAGTAATCATGGTAGTTTGAGCATGGGAACAAGATGCATAAGAAGCACCAAGCAGGAGCTTAGGAGAGTTTTCTGTACCATCTCGGAGCAGTAGTCCATCTTATTCAGCTTTGGTCTCTACTTGTGACTAATCTCTAACACTTCAAAGAATAGTTGACAACAACAAAACCTCAAATCCCAGAAATAAAATCAATACAATTGGACAAAAGGT